AGCACTAATTTCTTTAAGTATACGTCTAATCTGATAGTACACGTGAAATGTTATAACAGACTTATTTAGTTCAAACCCTGGGGAATAAAGAGATACACCACATCCTGTTGTGGCACACCATATGGCAAAGTTTAACTGATTCTGCCAAAATTGCATCAGATTGTGAAACCAATCGTGCACCATTTTATCGCTAGTTGCCGTAAACCTGTACTTTTCAAAGATATCAGGGAATTTAACGATAAAATCATAACCAGAGTCAGTTACTATAATCGATTGATTAGTAATGTATCTCGTTTCCATATTTAAGTTATGATATAGTATCATTGTAAATTTAATATGTATGTTACACTCCCGGGAATAACAAATGGTCAGCCTATTCAACTGCTTCATACTATCGATAACTCGGATGGACAACTCAAAGTCGCTCTATGCGATGTAACGTATTACCCGCTGTGGACCAACATAAGTGCTGCAAGATATAATAATGAGACAGTAATAAATAGTAAACAATACATTATACCTGATGGGTATTACAGCGTATGCTCACTCAATGATGAATTTTTTAAGCCTAATTTAGTTTTAGATTTAGTTCCCTATAAAGAGTTGTGCATCCATCTTGATCAGATCAGTACGACGGATAATATTCAACTTGAAAGTCCTTCAACTCTACTCAGATCTATTACAGTCGAAGATGAAAAATATAATAGTGGTAGAACGGAATCTTTCTCAACATTACAAGATAAAAAATTAAAACGGGGTATTATTTCAGACTTCAAAATTTCTATATTAGATGTAAAACACCAACCTGTACATATAGGATACTTAAGTGTAACACTCCATATTATAAATAATGGTTGATTCCATATTTAAGTTATGATATAATATCATTGTATATTTAATATGTATGTTACACTTCCTGGAATAACAAATGGTCAGTCTATTGAACTGTTTCATACTATCGATAATTCAGATGTTCAACTTGAAGTCGCCCTATGCGATGTAACGTATTACCCATGGTGGACCAATATAAATACTGTGAAAAGAAATAATGAGATGTATATATTAGGTGGAAAAAAAAACATTATTATACCTGATGGGTATTACAGTATATGCTCACTCAATGATGAAATTTTTAAGCCTAATGGAATTAGTCTCACACAAAATGAGTCGAAAGGGGACAGTGAATTTAAGCGCAGAAAAGGATGTACAGATTTTAGAGAACTTAGCAATTACACTTGGATTTGCACGCGGAGGAGTAATACCACACAACAAAACAGCGAATGTAGTTACATTACCCGATTTAGTTCCCCCCGATTTAGTTCCCTATAAAGAGTTGTGCATCTATCTTGATCAAATAAGCACGACGGATAATATTCAACTAGAAAGTCCTTCAACTCTGCTCAGATCTATTCCAGTGAAAAATGAAAAATACAGTAGCGGTAGAACGGAATCTTTCTCAACATTACAATATAAAAAATTAAAGCGGGGTATTATTTCAGACCTCAAAATTTCTATATTAGATGTAAAACACCAACCTGTACATATAGGATACTTAAGTGTAACACTCCATATTATAAATATTGGTTGATTCATCAGGCCCTGGAACGCTCAGACAATGTAATACAATTGCGCTTTCCGATCTCGGAGACACAGAAGGATTCGGTATACCCGGTACTGATGGTAAGTTATACGCTTTACACTTACAAGATAATGTATACAAGCAAAAAGAGGTTACATTCATGGGTAATCTAGAAGATTTAAGCGATGTCGACGTTAGTAGACTCCTTAAAAACACTTCGTACAATATTACTCGCAACGACGATAAAAAATGGACTATGGTCGACGCAAAAAACGAGTGGCTATTGAATATCGTCATTACCCAACCGTATGTGATGATGGGTAAGGCACATAATTTAACTAAGATAATAAATAGTGGGATCGTACTCGCGGCTTATATCCCATCAAAACGAAAAAGTGTGTTAGTCTCTCCCCTGTCAGAAGACCCAGGTCATATGTTATTTAGTCGTCCGGCCGTAAAAAATGTTAGTTTAAATTTGGTTACTGAATTCAATGATATTAAAGTTAACTTGAGTGCAATACCTAATATTTCTACGCTTATTATTGAAGTCTTGTCTGGAGATGCACCAGAAAATGCCTTCGAAATATTACCAGGACTATCGATTAAATGGCAAAAGAAACACGAGCGTCAACGTTGCAGTATTATTCATATTGGCGCTTCACCTGTTGCAACCCTCGAGGGGGTTCAAATTATTAAAAGTGACAGCATTTCTCTTACTAAGATATCCTTGCCGTATAATATACATTTGATAAGGTTGATGTGTACTCTCAAAACATTTAAGCAAGATCAATTAAAGACTATTATATGACCGTAATATATACTATGAGTTTATATCCGGCGCTCGATGAAGCATTTGAAAAGATGGATACTGTTGATGGATTTCGATTACATCAAATAAGCGACTTAAAACATCGAATAGAGAAGGATAGGGAGTTGAGACTTGGATTGTATAAAAAGTATCGCAGAGCTGTGAATGCGCTGGACGGAGTTGACACCGCGCTTGTAATATCTGGCATGGGACTCGGTGTAGCAGGTGTTGGTATATTATCAACTATAATCGCTGCGCCTATCGTACTTGGCATGGAAATAGCGGCCGGAATCTCAGGACTGGCAGGAATAACGATAAAATTTATTTCTCGTAGGTTGCAAAAGAAAGCATTAAAACATGATAATATTCGGATACTCGCCGAAGCAAAGTTGAACAGCATTGAGGATCATATTTCGACAGCAATGGCTGATTGTAAGATATCCGAGGATGAGTTTCGTTTAGTGTTATCAGAACTCATCAAATACAACATAATGAAGCAGGAGATTCGATCAAAATCTCGTAAGACCAGAGGTATTAGCGAAGACGAGAAAAAAAAGTCCATAGAACAGGGGAGGCAACAAGCGCGTCAGTTATTCCGTGCCAAAACCAAAGAACTGGTTGGAGATTAAAAATAGATTGCTTACTATCATTTGATCACATTTAGATAAATGCTTACATAAATATATAATAATGGAGAATTACAACATTTATGTTCATGGACAAAATTATTATATCAGTAATGTCAAACCAACAAATGAAGAACACAAAACATTTATGTTCATAGACAAAATTATCAAATTGAGAGAATTACCACAAGGTATATATTATATCTGTAAACCAAACAAATATGATCATCAATTACCAAGAAGAGTATATAATCTGGCCTACTTGTAAAATAATAGAGAAATTTATATCATAGAAGCATTGATTGACTCCAGGTGGTGGTGAGCTAGAGTCAATTTAACTTAATCTCATGACTATCGTTGAATCGCATAATCATTTTGGCATAAAAAATGCCACCTGTAGCAGCTGTATTGGTATATAAATCCGGCTATAGTTGCGGCAGAACCATCATTACCTATACTACTAGTTTATTTCTGACCTTGAGTTCTTCCTCCATGAAGTCATGGGAGATATGTATCTTACTACCTTTCAGATTTCGGGAAGAACCCATCACCTGAGATTTGTGTTTTGGGTGTGTGAACGTCACGAGGACTGGTCTGGGTCCCAGGGTTTTAGTCGTCAGTCTTCTTGCTGAAAGCACTCCTACATTTTCATCATGTTTCAATTTGTTTATAATAATTTCATTTATTTTTTCTTCAGTTTGGTCATAAGTTTCTCTCGTAGTTTCTTCCACATTATAAAAAATAATGTTATTTCTTTTACTTTGGCTCTCCATGTTATTTATTTTATGTGTCAAGTATGAAACTTGTTCTTTTAAGGCAGAATTCTTATTAGCCATCGCTTGGAAATCCTGTTCAATGCAATTTATCCGGTTAGAAATTGTCACTCATATCCTTTCTCATACCTCGAATTTCTTTCAGAAGTTCACTGTTACTGGGTTCGGAGTTCGGAGGTTTGGGGGTTGTCTCGTCACTCTACTTGTACCTGTATCTTCTGGGCCGGGGCCTGGGTTTAGGTTGACATCATTACCCAGCTGGATAATAAGCATAACACTCACGACGACAGCTGCTCTCACAAGCCTACCTGTACCTGCCGGCACGTGCATCATGGCGACACGCATGGCTTGAGCCAATTTCGCTCGGCGACCCATAAATGCGATAAAAGTTGAAGCAAAATTATTACTGCCAACACTTCTTCTATACGTGGCTAGATCACACCCCATACTTGTTTGTCATTAGGTTTTAATACATAAAGGGGTTATTGAAGTAGTATTGATGACTTCTACTGCATTTTCAACAGAGCTGATTTTCGTGCGTGCTCTCACCTCGCCGCCAGGTTGTAACTAAGAAACACTTATTGTATGTCAATGTACATATGTAACTATTTAGAATGAAACTGTATATATAGCTACAGATTCATTAAGAAATGAAATGCAGAGTAATGCTGCAATATAAGGCCAAGACTAGACATGTACTCTTTCTTGTATCCTTATACTTTAACTGCTGTGTGCTAGAATCATATCTGATAAACACTGCAAGCAACCAGTAGACAGTTCTGTTATAACTGAAAAACAAAACTAAATAACAGCTGGTTATTTTTGTATGATGACATGTTATAAATGTCTTAAACAATAAAAAAAATGCAACCAAATATTTGAGATTGAAACATTGTTCATATGCAATTCCAGCATGATGACATTAGATCTGGGATGATGCATAGAATGTAGAACTTCCATGCCTCTGTTTACCTCACTAAGAAACCTCCATTCATTTCTGTATCTAAAATGAACAAGTGAAATACAATACATTCTTTTGAAATACCAATGGGTTCGGTTAGTTTTTCACAATTTTAATCTCAAGATTTTTATTTACTAATTACTGACAACTAAAATGATCTAGCGTACTGGGTTGAGTGAGTTAATTGAGTAGGAACTGTATTTCCTCCATACACAATATTTGGTGTATGTTTGTATTTGTTCTCTCTGTCCAGCTCAACCGGGCATATTGTGAACTGGAGAAGAGAATCACAGAGCATGATACAGCAGCAGCCTCTGGCTTTGAGAGAACTGACATCACACTGAATGTATGTGTAAAAATCTTTTGTGTGCCTTCAGTAGTTGACATGAAGAGATAAAATTGCTACAGAATTTAATAAATCTAATGCCATTATTATTTTATCAAATACTAATAAATGTATACTAATGGAAAAAAGTAACTGTGTTTTGTATAAAGTTCAATGAAAATACGTTTATTCTGAAATTAAATAATGTATCATTTAATACGAATATAGTCATGAAGACATCTCCTCGACATTTAGGTGGTGTCTAACAATTTGTACATGCATGTTAATGCATGTAAATGCATGGTGCATTATTTGGATGTTTGCTTGTTTGTTGGAAACATGATATTCACACACATGTATTTTTAATGTGAACAACATACAATGACTGTTTAGCTATCAGGTGCTCATAAAAACACTTTTGTTTAACTGTAAATAATGCTAACACCGTGACATAGCTTGCTGAAAATCAACATCTACATGCCATGGGTATGCTGCAAACAGGAATGTTGCAAAACGAAGTTGACAGACATTTTAATGTTCATTGAAACACAATATCATCATTTGTGAGAGTGTTACTCTCTAATGAGGGTGTTACATGTGTGGCATCTCTAATGAGGGTGTTACATGTGTAGGAGGGCAACACTCATGACTTGCCATGCACTTGTCGTTGACACAATACGTAAAGCCAACAAAACAACCATATTCGGTTGGTGCATCTATGGAATTGATACCAAACTGCCACATTTACAGCTTGGACAATGCCCGGGTTGGGACCAGTTAGTGGCAGAACTGTATGCAACCGATTGTGGGAGCATACAATCTGGCCCAGACGTCAAGCTATACGTCCAACTTTGCTTTCACGTCACTGCCAGGCACGTCTAGCTTGGTTTAGACAGCATCTGAGGCTCAGAAAACAAGTTGGGGATAGTATACAGTTCACAGATGAGTCGAAGTTTCTGCCGTGCAAAGGTCTGCAGGTGTCAAGGCTAACGTTTAAGCAACCCTTTCTTGCAAATGTAGGGACGTAATATCATGTTGCAGTAGAATTATGCCCGCCTACATTGTGCATGTGTTGTAACAGGCTTTTTGAGGCAGCATAACAATTCTATACTGCCATGCCAAGCTGTTTCTCGAGACCTCTCCCCCATAGAACATGTCTGTCAGGCTGTTTTCAATCATCTCGTGTCTTCTTGTGCCACCGCTGCCTCGACTGTATCAGCGCAAATGATGGTCTCACCCGATGATGACTTGGATAATTGAGTTGTTACATCAACCCTCTTTTAGGGCGTTCCACTCTGTCTACTGTTACCATTCTGTCAATGAATTTGTTATGATAACACAATGATCGGACTAATAACCAAATATTATATTGTTATTTTCAATAGTATAACCACTATATGTGAAGAGCAGTTACTTTCTTTCATGAGTATCTATATCAGTTGTAAATGAACTAGACATTTGACTTCACATGATAAAGTACACATGTCAACTTCTCATGTTAACTTTAGACAGTCCATGATGCTGAGTTGGAACTGGAAGTCATAAAGATTGAATTCGACAAAGCTCAGGACAAACTTGCCTTCACTAAAATGAAACTTCGGGAACAGCAAATGACTCAGCCAGGTACTGCAAAAGTTTCTTAAAAATACTCTCTTGTTAAACTTGACAATTCTTTAGGTTTCTAAATTACTCTATTGAAACCATCTCCTTAAAGCTCTTTGTCTGTGAATGCAGAATGTTTGAGAATCTAGACAAATGTGTGTACACTATGAGTACAGTTCTACCATATACTTATGTTACCATTTGTTGCAATGGGCTACGTATATCTTATAGTACACAATGAAAAAGTCTCTCTTTTTTTTGTTGACTCTCTCATTCATTAGACCACGGGGGCGGTCGGAATAGATGTGAAAGTGGTGAGGGTGTAAATGATGCGAATATAATGAGGTGTGAAAGGTGTGAAGATAATAAGAGGCATGACAGATGTGAAAATAATGAGGGTGTCACATGTGAAGATATTTGGGGTGTACCAGATGTGAAGATAATGAAGGTGTAACAGATGATAAAATGTTGAACGTGTAACATGTGAAGATACTGAGGGTGTAACAGATGTGACGATACGAGGGCTGGTCAAAAGCCTGACTAACTTTAAACTGTGGGCCATAACAAAGGGAAATAGTCAATGTAATACATTGTTGAGTACTTCATTGCAAGTGTATTTGGTCTGTTGAGGCCGTTTGTATATAAGGGTCAGCCAGTTGAATGTGCTAGGCATCCAAATGGACACAGAAATGGAAAAGAACGAGTACCTAACAGTCATCAAGATTTTAACTTAAAGGGCAAGTTCACACGAAAATAAACCTATTTTTCTTGTACTTTTTCATCATGAAAAGTATTTACCTAGTAGTTTCGGAGGCAAAACAATTAAAATATCACACGTATCAAATTTATTTTATTCATAAAATCGGTTCATATTTTTCACATTTTCAGAGAGTTCTATTTCCATAATAAACACACCATGGCTTATGCCCCTTGCAATATGACGTCATTGGTGGCAATTGACAAAGGAATGACGTCATAAGACTTTATTAGACGCGTTTCACGTGGTGTATGTAGGTGTGTGGTTCTATCTTCTCAGATGCGCAGCCTAGCTATTGTTTTGTTCGGTGCCGAGCTGTCCAAGATACAACGCTAAGCACAATTACTCTAAAATTATTTCGGTTTCCAAAATCACGACTGAGAAGACAACAATGCACTGATAACATACTGTAAGATTCGCGATTATGGTTGGAAGGGTCCGTTGTATGAATTGCGCTTATTCGTTCATTTGTGTTGCGCATATTGGCTCTTGCTGAGTTGCTGTCGTCCTCCGTGAGAGTTTAGATACCTGCTGGTTCTGAAACCACAGGACCATATGTAACTAATAATAACAATAAAAAAAAACTCGCTTAAAAATTATAGACGAGGCCGAAGGCCGTTTTTGTTACTATTATTAGTTACATATGGTCCTGTGCTGAAACTGATCGGAAGCGGATGGTGTACGATCCTTATATGGAAACGGGCTAAAGGGGCAGCACTCTCATCAAGACCCTGACTGGGATGTTTTTGAAAACAAACGCCGTAAAGTTGAAGTAACTCGATCAGGTAAGTTTGCTGTTTTAGTTTATTCTAACCACAGTAGTATTTAAGAAATGTATTTTAGCAGGGGTAGGGTGATATTTGTACATAGTTTCACTTGATAATCATGAATATCCGCGATGTTGTCTCGTTCACATGTTCACTTCCTCCATGGTTATGTCGATACTCCTGATCAGCTGATCGTTGCAGTATGCAGCAAACTCCTGTTGATGGAGTAAGTTGTGTTACGTAATGTTTTAGTTTTACAGCCATTCCCGTCTGGAATTAACACATATCATCTCATTTCGGTAATTAATAAACTTTATAATAACACAGGAAAACAAATTATAAATTATATAAACTCATTCAAATTCTGTGTGTGTGTGTTTGTGTGTGTACCTAATCTTTAAATAATCATGTACAATAATTTTGATTCAGACTGTTGAAGCAAAAGTCCGCAAAAATACATTGTTGCAACATGTTTATTTTTTATATTGAGGCTTTATATATTTTTTATTCAAACAGATATCTGGTTTTGCTGGTTTGTAGCTGACAAAATATCCAGTCACTATCCAAAATCATCGCCCACCCACCACCCAAAATATTCAAATTTCATGTTCAATGCAATTTACACACATATACAATTTATAGCACATTTATACATGAAAAAAATCAAGTTACCATTTTATATTTTGTGATAGTGAGATATAGATGACAAAAGTGTTAATGTTTCTATGTTGTATCTTTCAAATATGAAGTTTCGAGCCAAGTCATGCCAGACACCGATGCCCAGAAAGTACAGGTCCCCAGTCCATCATGGTGTAAAGTCGCTGTCCAGTGTACACCAGAAGCATGGCACACCGTGCTTCACAGTATGAGGTACAAAATAATATTTTGACAATGAATAATCACACAATGTAAATACTATATGCAAATAATTTCTGTATTGCACTATTTTGTGTATCTATTATATTCTATATTGTTGTCTTTTGTTGTAAAAGTGTAGTGTGGATGACAAATGAACGTATACTGTGAATGACATATAAAAGTTTAGATCTGATACAATTTGATGTTAATTTTATATTTTTGTTTGTGCAGTGATCAACATATCCTTTCACCTATTATTAACATTGATGTCTACACAACAGATGTATATATTTGTCACCTACGTAAGGTTTTTCCATATATTTCCAGTTGTCATTTATCATTCAGAATCGTCTGTGAACGATCACATAAATTTTCTTCTCTGTACTATTTTCTATCCCAGAATGCAATATATTTTCCCCGGGCATGCGCAGTACTACGGATGTGACATCATTTTGTTTTTCTATATTAACAACAAGAGCCACACTCCGTCGCAGTGGTGACTCAGCATAACACCACTGCCACAGGCTAATTTGCATATCACGTGACCGGACTTTTCTCTTGTTTGTAAACAAACGCGCTTTTTCAGAAATCAGTATAGAACGGACTAATGCAAGTATTTGGGGGCGCTTTACATATTGTTTTGCATAACTATATAGATATGCTACTACAACTGCGACAGTGAGTTGCATGACAATATATATTTATGCATCAAAGTGACCGTGTCGCTAGCTCTCCGTTGGGCTTCGATGACAGCACGTGGAGCCGTACAACCAATGTAAACATAGGATAACTACGCAAAAACAAGTAGATTTTTACGAAGTTGCATACTTTCTCAATGAAAGTTAACCATTCTTTGACATTTGTTTATGAAAATGTGTAGACTTGTCAAACATGAAACGGATGAAAAGCATATGCAATATCTTGAATGGACTGTGAAAGATGTGACGAATCGTCACATGGCGCTGGCCTGTGGCAGAGGTACTATGCTAGCTGGCTGCCGGCCGCATGGAACTCTGGGTAGGAGAGTGAACAAGAGCCTCAATGTCGTTCAGCTGTTTCCATTGTTCTCTCAGCTGTCATTACGAATCACGGTCATTCAAAAAATCTACACAATCCTTTGCCATCCTGTTGTGTATGCAGTACAACTGTTTGTTGCTATTGTAACAATGGCTGACAGACGACATTTTAAGCCAGATCGCAATCAACACGAAGGGTTAACCAGGATACGACCTCTGACCTGCATGAAAACAACAATGGCGCCGATCGTGGCGAAGCGTCTAGCCCTGTTTCCCTCTCACAGGAATGTAACAGAAGCTCTCCCTTTTGACAGCTGCTGATAATCGACAACGGCTGCCAGACATGGGTGTCAATGTGCCCACTTTCTGGTCCAGACGGACATTAATGCAGCCTAATTGAAATATGAGGGTGATGACAGGCATCAACAGCACGGTCGCCACCACTACGATCCCTCAAAACGCTCCAGTCAGTCAAGATCAAGGCAGTGATGTGCCGCTACAGAGAGACAATTCACAGGATTTTGCTCTGATAATTCTGCTAGTGTTACAGAAAACACAGTGACAGTGTTTTCATTACAGGGAGATCGCTGAACTGAAGTCTATCGTCATGAACTTGGGACAACAATTACAGCCTCCTACAAGTACATTTACCACCACCAGTGACAACGACAACCCAGAGAGGAGTCAAGACAAGCCACAGGAGCAAGTAGAGATTTTCCCAAACAGCTAAACAGGGACGTACCCTCAGATTCACGGCCACACATACACACATTTCATTCAATCTTAAATGAGATACAAGGTAATATGTCAATCTAGCCTTGCTTCTTCTGCCAATCAGGAATTTAGACACAGTGTCAGATTGTGACAGACTTTCAACTTATGTGATGAACAGCCTTTTCTGAGGAAGGCACCGGCATTAGGTGGGATATACCTCATTAGAGACTATGGACAAGGGATGATTTCCCCTATGCTAAATTCTCTTCCCAAGACACTGTTGAATTTAGGAACAACCTGTCAGCATGCAAGGCCCCAGATGTCGTCACTAAGCAGTAGAACATGTGTCACAAGGGGTTATGTGATTGGACCCTTCGGGACGCCACCATACAGGGTGTATAGAATCAGTCCTCTAGGTGATGACAGCGAGTCAGTCCCTTCCTTACTTACCTGGTACAGCTCAGCCAACAGTTTCCAGTTCCTACACGCAGGGTACACCTATCCCTCAATTCCATAATAATCTGATCCCTTTCTCGCAGGCCGGCACGGGCCTGGTCTGGTGCAGCCACCAGTTTCCAATTCCATACCCGCAGGGTACTTCCATACTAATCTGATCCCTTTACACCCCTATACCCGCAGGGTATCCCCATTCTCGCAGGCCGGCACGGCCCTGGTTCGGCGCAGCCACCAGTTTTCCAATTCCATACTCGTAGGGTACACCTATCCCTCAATTCCATAATAATCTGTTCCCTTTACACCCCTATACCCGCAGGGTATCCCCATTCTCGCAGGCTGACACGGCCCTGGTCCGGCGCAGCAACCAGTTTCCAATTCCATACCCGCAGGGTACACCTATCCCTCAATTCCATAATAATCTGATCCCTTTACACCCCTATACCCGCAGGGTATCCCCATTCTCACAGGCCGACACGGCCCTGGTCCGGCGCAGCCACCAGTTTCCAATTACATACCTGCAGGGTACTTCCATAATAATCTGGTCCCTTTACACCCCTATACCCGCAGGGTATCCCTATTCTCACAGGCCGGCACGGCCCTGGTCCGGCGCAGCCACCAGTTTCAAATTCCATACCCGCAGGGTACACCTATCCCTCAATTCCATAATAATCTGCTCCCTATACACCCCTATTCTCACAGGCCGACACTGTCCTGGTTCAGCGCAGCCAACAGTTTCCAATTCCATACCCGCAGGGTATACCTCTCCTTCAATTCCATAATAATCTGCTCCCTTTCCACCCCTATACCCGCAGGGTATCCCCATTCTCACAGGCTGACACGGCCCTGGTCCGGTGCAGCCACCAGTTTCCATTCCATACCCACAGGGTACTTCCATAATAATCTGCTCCCTTTCCACCCCTATACCCGCAGGGTATCCCTATTCTCACAGGCCGGCACGGCCCTGGTCCGGCGCAGCCACCAGTTTCCATTCCATACCCGCAGGGTACACCTATCCCTCAATTCCATAATAATCTGATCCCTTTCCACCCCTATACCGGCAGGGTATCCCTATTCTCACAGCCTGACACGGCCCTGATCCGGCGCAGCCACCAGTTTCCATTCCATACCTGCAGGGTACACCTCTCCTTCAATTCCATAATAATCTGCTCCCCTTCCACCCCTATACCCGCAGGGTATCCCCATTCTCACAGGCTGACACGGCCCTGGTCCGGCGCAGCCACCAGTTTCCATTCCATACCCACACGATACTTCCATAATAATCTGATCCCTATACACCCCTATACCCGCAGGGTATCCCTATTCTCACAGGCCGGCACGGCCCTGGTCCGGCGCAGCCACCAGTTTCCAATTCCATACCCGCAGGGTACACCTCTCCTTCAATTCCGTAATAATCTGCTCCCTTTCCCCCCCTATACCCGCAGGGTATCCCTATTCTCGCGGTCGGCAGGGCCCGGGTCTGGCGCAGCCACCATTTTCCAATGCCATACCCGCAGGGAACACCTATCCTTAAGATTTGCTTGTCGTGTGATCCCCCTGAAGATCCTTTGTGTCCTACCTTACTGACTTATCAACCAAAGTAGCCAACTGCATCATCATATTCAGCTGTCTCAGACCTTCGAATCGACTTGCGCATGTGGAACCCTTTCCTCTCACAGTGGAACGGCATAGCAGTATTTCATGACGTTGAAGTGACATCCGCCTCACACTTGAACCGATATACTGACACTGCTGCAACGGTTGGCCATGGTGGATACTTCAACATATTCAATGGGGCCTGGTTTGCAGAGAATGGCCATCAGATGTTACAATTCCTGGAGCACGAATCCAGGGCATTCATGGAGCTGTATCCAATCATGGTTGCTGCTAATTTTGTGGACATTAGTGGACACAGACGAGTGCTATTTCATTGCGACAACCAGGCCACCGTGTTAATTATTAAAGGAAGATTATGGCTTTGATGAGAACACTGACTTGGACGGCAGCTAGAATAATTTTGTTCTGTTAGCTCAACATGTTCCCGGAATACACAACGAACTTGCTGATTCTCTATCTCCGTTCCACATGGTGAATTCTGCAGAGTGGTGCCGCAGACAGATGTACTTCCGCAACAGTGCCCACCCAGCTCAGACATCATGTGGCAGCAGCTATCAGTCAGGGTACTAAATCTGCATACACTACAGGCTCGATGTGCTATGTAATTTACTGTTGAAATTCAGCATGGTCAGCAACCTGTGAATCCAGTCCACCCTCTCACCAATAAGTGAGACTATATATTTCGTAGCCCATTGTTTTTTTGGAGTGCTATAACTGAAACATGACACAGTGGATTTATTTGGCCGGTATCGAGTTCATGTACCTCCAAGCTGGTATCAAGACCCTTTTTGACGATGTATCTTCAGGAGCTGTACACAGACTACAGACTTTATTAGGAGGTCACAAGAAATGCAATCAATATCTACAAAGTAGCGCTTGCCTATAACTTACAGTGTTTTATGTAAACTAGTGGCTCAGTTACAAGTAGGCGTGTTTGGATATTTCAACAATCTGGCAATGCAATGTATGTGCATAACTGCCTATTTTGGATTTCTCCGTCGTGGAGAATTTACTTGTGCCTCGTCGTTTGATCCAGATGTACATCTAACAGCGAGTGATGTGCAATTTGAACAGACACAACATAAGTGCATCCTAACCTTAAAGCTTCCAAACAGATCCCTTCAAAAGGGTGTGCAACCCACATGACTGAACTGTTATTCCTATCGGTGCTACTAACACTCATCAGTGCTTCCTGACACCGTTCAATCTAGTTCTGTGACATAACTTGGATGTTATAACTCATTGGATTCAGTATTTAATTCTCATATGTATATATTTAACATTATCATCTTCACTCATCACTCATTTTATACTTTCTTATCACTTTGGGGGCTCTCGGTTTTTTACCTCGTTTTGGGCTTGCAAGCTAATCATTCTGTAAACTATCATTATATGGCTTGCGGCCCCAAAAGTATTTTCATTTTCACTCATACCCGCAGGGTATCACCCTTTCTACATATTTCCATTTTATCTTTTTAGATCTACCCGCAGGGTTCTAAGTCATTTTCATATATATTTCAAATTTACTTATGCAGGGCTGCCTTTTTATACTACTTACCAGCAGCGTAAGTTACCTTTCCAACACCGAGTCAGCCCCCGAATCTTATGCCAAGTATTGTATATAATAAACATTTGACCGTACTCAATTGTTTTGTTGTCACTGCACAAATACACAGTTAACTGATGATATTTGTATTCAGGCATCCAGTGACAAGCCTGACACTGCTGCAGATTATTACCACCTTCTTTTACAATTATTTAGTCAGTGTACATATTATTTTGACAAATCTATGTTAAAATTATTTTTATATATTTCAGGTCCCACAATGATATGGAAGAGTATAAATGCGACAAAACCCTTTCCATATTCATATGAAATCTCTGTAAAAAACAGTTGATGGTACGATTCTGACTAAATCATGAGCATGTGTTAATGAATCGCTATCAAATAGTGATAATACCAGGTGTTCACGAAAGGTGAGAGTATCCTGCCCCACCGATGTCACAAGAAATCCCTGGTGTTGAGATCCATTTTCATTGTGTGCAAATTGTGTTTATTTTCATGCAGAGTTACAAGTCATAAAATATTAGAGTGTCTTGTGAGGTACAGTGCTTCAGAGAACAAGAGAGCTGTACTTTTGAAATAGTCAACCAGTGCACTAACAAGTTACCACTGAGCATTCAGCCAGTGCTTGTGATATTTTCTTCAGTCTTTTCCCCGGCCTTCGCCCTTGCCCAAAACTACCTGATCCAGCATCAGCCATCCTGTATTACAGAAACTTATCAAATGAAACAGCAAAGGCTGATTGTTGTCAGAGACCATAAAACAAGATTTCAATGAAAAAAGTTTATTTTAATGAGCATAGAGAAAAACTTTCCATACATCAGATGGAAATCTTTCATGAATCACCTCGACAACACAAGATGGAATAACTTTTCTCTGATTCTTCAACTATTTCTGCAAATCCCCAAAGTGAACCTCTTGTTTATGAGGTGTAGATAGATTCTGAAATGAAAAAGTGTCTTTTATCAGTCAAAACTATGCACAACATTACACAAAAATATCATACCATTTACATATATATTTTTGTCATTAAATCTGGAGGGATGCTTATATAAGAAGTAACTTGTATTGATGTTATATGCATAATTTTTATTACATGTTAATAATTCAATAAATACCAAAACAGTTTATAGTTCTATCATGTTGACATGATGTGTTTATTACTGTAGGTTTGAATACTTCTTGAAATATTGTGGGCATGTTTCAATATCACTGATGTAATTTAATAACCTTACAAGTTACATATGCTTTCACAACTTGCTGGCAAATAAACATTTATGGTACTCCAATCTCTTATTTTACTTGTCAGATTTGTTTGTTGTGCATGATAGATCTTAAAATGCATAATAAAAAAAATTGATGAAAGTAAATCATATTATATGTTTTCTAAACTTTATTTCAAGTGTTAATATAAAAAAGGGTGGTGGGTTAGCCTTGTGGTGAAAGTGTTCGATCATCACACTGAAGACCCAAGTTCGATTCCCCACATGGGCACAACATGTGAAGCCCTTTTCTGGTGTCCCCCAGTTGTGATATTGCTGGAATATTGCTAAAAGCAGGGTAAAACCCTACTCACTCACTCATATAAAAAAATGATTGCATATTTCATTTGCATTTTAGGGGGTGGTTGTTACAGACGTTTTGCTCAAAAGGTCAGGTTGGGAGGTCCAAATTTCCAAACAAAGATTTACAATTTCAAATATTTTTCACTACTTTTCAACAAGTTTTACTTATAGTTTCTTAGATAATTTATATGTATTGATTGTGACAGTAAATGAGCTTTTTGTAAACATTTTACATATATCTCGTCCACTCAGTTAAACAACCCACTGTTTTTAATAATTAATTATATATTAGATATCTCTTCTTTTTTTATAGTTTCTAAACATTTTTTTTTAAAATCTGGCACCATAATAGATGATAAATAGTTTCCCTGCAAAGTTGCAATGCATTTTCTATGAATGGTTGTCAGAACAAACCAATAACCAATTATCTATTAAATAGAATAAGATACTGTAGGCCTACTGCAGTAACTGGTTTCAAACACTAAACAAATCAATTGAGTGATCTATCTTTTCACTTTCAAATGGGGACGGTGTGAAGTGTGAAGTACGACATCCAATTACTTATCAATAAATATGGCAGGTATTTTGACCTCGGATGGGGAAAAATCAAAGAGAATCTTTTTTTCCCCCAGTACGTTTCCACTTGGCAACCGACTTTAGAAACGTACTGGGACATACCCCATTTTCGTGTTACTCTAAGCATATGGTCTCGTCATCAGCTGGTAGGCCTAATGTTTAATCTTGTTGAGACAACGTTTGGCGACAGATCGTATTTGTTTCTTGATATTGGCAAGTAGCATTGATCTGTAGCCTATAGGTGGTGGGAATAGTTACACCTAATACAAACTCAGATTGACGACAATGCCTATACCGGCGATAGGGTCGTAACAGGGTGTGACAGGATGAATAGGCCTGCTGACGAAGCATGCGGGTCACCAGGCGTGACAAAAATCTCTTAGAATATTACGTTTCCGCTTCTGAAAACGTAATAATGAGCATATAGGTAGTTTAGGTATACACACATCAAAGTGTTATTCTTACCACGTTGTCACTGGTAGGCCTAATTGTGTAGATGTCGAGTAGGGGCCGGGTGACAAATTAGGTGATGTGGGTCTTCTCTTGTTTCCACTTGATTTTCATCGTTTCCATACCGCGAAGGTTGCTCGTTTCGGTTCAAAATCGTATGGTTTTGCGATTTCTTGAAGGGTCAAGGGAACTTCTTCGGACCAGGCAAGGTATCGGATGCCATGTTGTCTCACCATAAACTGGTACTTGATATCTTTTGCGTTGTGACAAGACAGGGACCCAGTTAAATTGGCACCAATTACGTCATAACCTAAGGGGGATAACTCAGGCCTGTTTAGCTCGGAAAACGAAGGCCTCATAACGGCATGACATTTTCACACTTATTGTGAGCTCGCTACATTGACTGTGAGAAAAATGAGTGTATATTTTCTAACACTGATACTAACTCATTCTAAAATTCCGTTTTGTTTAAAATAAGAAAGAAAGTGATTTTTGCGTGTACACTTCCCCTTTAAGCGAAAAGTGCTCCCCAAGAAATTCATGACCGCATATAAACATTTGGCAGCTATGTGATGATGACCCTAGGTCTGGACGTCCCTCAACTTCCAACAATGAAGATTCAATCAAGGAGATAGAAAAAACTTCTACTGTCAGATAGATGTGGAAGTGGTGAGGGTGTAAAAGATGTGGAAGTGGTGAGGGTGTAATTGATGTGGAAGTGGTGAGGGTGTAATAGATGTGGAAGTGGTGAGGGTGTAATAGATGTGGAAGTGGTGAGGGTGTAATAGATGTGGAAGTAGTGAGTGTGTAATAGATGTGGAAGTGGTGAGGGTGTTATAGATGTGGAAGTGGTGAGGGTGTAATTGATGTGGAAGTGGTGAGGGTGTAATAGATGTGGAAGTAGTGAGGGTGTAATTGATGTGGAAGTGGTGAGGGTGTAACACATGTGGAAGTGGTGAGGGTGTAACAGCTGGTGAGGGTGTAACAGCTGGTGAGGGTGTAATTGATGTGGAAGTCGTGAGGGTGTAACAGATGTGGAACTGGTTAGGGGGTGAGGGTGTAATAGATGTGAAGTGGCGAGGTGTAATAGATGTGGAAGTGGTGAGGGTGTAACAGATGTGGAAGTGGTGAGGGTGTAACAACTGGTGAGGGTGTAATTGATGTGGAAGTGGTGAGGGTGTAATAGATGTAGAAGTGGTAAGGGTGTAATAGATGTGGAAGTGGTGAGGGTGTAACAGATGTGGAAGTGGTGAGGGTGTAACAACTGGTGAGGGTGTAATTGATGTGGAAGTGGTGAGGGTGTAATAGATGTAGAAGTGGTGAGGGTGTTATAGATGTGGAAGTGGTGAGGGTGTAACAGATGTGGAACTGGTGAGGGGATGATGGTGTAATTGATGTGGAAGTGGTGAGGGTGTAAGAGATGTGGAAGTGGTGAGGGTGTTATAGATGTGGAGGTGGTGAAGGTGTAACATTGGTGGTGGTGTAACCGGGATGAGGGTGTAATAGATGTGGAAGTAGTGAGGGTGTAATTGATGTGGAAGTGTTGAGGATGTAATTGATGTGGAAGTGGTGGAGGTGTAACAGATGTTGAAGTGTTGAGGGTGTAATTGATGTGGAAGTGGTGAGGGTGTAATAGATGTAGAGGTGGTGAAGGTGTAACAGTGGTGATGGTGTAATAGATGTGGAAGTAGTGAGGGTGTTATTGATGTGGAAGTGTTGAGGGTGTAATTGATGTGGAAGTGTTGAGGGTGTAATAGATGTGGAGGTGGTGAAGGTGTAACAGTGGTGATGGTGTAACCGGGATGAAGGTGTAATAGATGTGGAAGTGGTGAGGGTGTAACAGCTGGTGAGGGTGTAATTGATGTGGAAGTCGTGAGGGTGTAACAGATGTGGAACTGGTGAGGGGGTGAGGGTGTAATAGATGTGAAGTGGCGAGGTGTAATAGATGTGGAAGTGGTGAGGGTGTAACAGATGTGGAAGTGGTGAGGGTGTAACAACTGGTGAGGGTGTAATTGATGTGGAAGTGGTGAGGGTGTAATAGATGTAGAAGTGGTAAGGGTGTAATAGATGTGGAAGTGGTGAGGGTGTAACAGATGTGGAAGTGGTGAGGGTGTAACAACTGGTGAGGGTGTAATTGATGTGGAAGTGGTGAGGGTGTAATAGATGTGGAAGTGGTGAGGGTGTAACAGATGTGGAACTGGTGAGGGGATGAGGGTGTAATTGATGTGGAAGTGGTGAGGGTTAAGAGATGTGGAAGTGGTGAGGGTGTTATAGATGTGGAGGTGGTGAAGGTGTAACAATGGTGGTGGTGTAACCGGGGTGAGGGTGTAATAGATGTGGAAGTAGTGAGGGTGTAATTGATGTGGAAGTGGTGGAGGTGTAATTGATGTGGAAGTGTTGAGGGTGTAATTGATGTGGAAGTGGTGAAGGTGTAACAGTGGTGATGGTGTAACCGGGATGAGGGTATTAGATGTGGAAGTAGTGAGGGTGTAATTGATGTGGAAGTGTTGAGGATGTAATTGATGTGGAAGTGGTGGAGGTGTAACAGATGTTGAAGTGTTGAGGGTGTAATTGATGTGGAAGTGGTGAGGGTGTAATAGATGTGGAGGTGGTGAAGGTGTAACAGTGGTGATGGTGTAACTGGGATGAGGGTGTAATAGATGTGGAAGTAGCGAGGGTGTAATTGATGTTGAAGTGTTGAGGATGTAATTGATGTGGAAGTGGTGGAGGTGTAACAGATGTTGAAGTGTTGAGGGTGTAATTGATGTGGAAGTGGTGAGGGTGTAATAGATGTAGAGGTGGTGAAGGTGTAACAGTGGTGATGGTGTAATAGATGTGGAAGTAGTGAGGGTGTAATTGATGTGGAAGTTTTGAGGGTGTAATTGATGTGGAAGTGGTGAGGGTGTAACAGATGTGGAAGTGGTGATGGTGTAATTGATGTGGAAGTGTTGAGGGTGTAATAGATGTGGAAATAGTGAGGGTGTAATTGATGTTGAAGTGGTGAGGGTGTAACAGATGTTAAAGTAATGAGGGTGTAACAGATGTACAAGTGGTGATGGTGTAACAGATGTGGAAGTGGTGATGGTGTTATAGATGTGGAATTGGTGATGGTGTTATAGGTGTGGAAGTGGTGAGGGTGTAACAGATGTGGAAGTGGTGAGGGTGTAAAAGATGCGGAAGTGGTGAGGGTGTAAGAGATGTGGAAGTGGTGAGGGTGTAAGAGATGTGGAATTGGTGAGGGTGTGATAGATGCGGAAGTGGTGAGGGTGTAACAGATGCAAAAGTAATGAGGGTGTAACAGATATGGAAGTGGTGAGGGTGTAATACATGTGGAAGTGGTGAGGGTGTAATACATGTGGAAGTGGTGAGGGTGTAACAGATGTGGAAGTGGTGAGGGTGTAACAGATGTGGTAGTGGTGAGGGTGTAACAGATGTGGAAGTGGTGAGGGTGTAACACTAACAGATGTGGAAGTGGTGATGGTGTAATTGATGTGGAAGTGGTGAGGGTGTAATAGATGTGGAAGTGGTGAGGATGTAACAGATGTGGAAGTGGTGAGGGTATAATACATGTGGAAGTGGTGAGGGTGTAATACATGTGGAAGTGGTGAGGGTGTAATACATGTGGAAGTGGTGAGGGTGTAATTGATGTGGAAGTGGTGAGGGTGTAACAGATGTGGAAGTGGTGAGGGTGGAAGTGGTGAGGGTGTAATTGATGTGGAAGTGGTGATGGTGTAATTGATGTGGAAGTGGTGAGGGTTTCACAGATGTGCAAGTAATGAGGGACTCACAGATGTGTATTTGCTGTATTCACTACAGGTGTGAATGGAGGACCTGGTGATCTTCCTGGATTGAAGGTGATGGTTAGAGAGCTAGATGAAGTTCTTTTAAGAGACGTCGGCAACAAAATCAAAGAATCTGGCAAGTAAGCACCCTTGGGATAGAGCTGTACGATGCATAGGGAGCAGACAACTAGTTCACATTACTGGAGCTTGTTGGGATGAATAAGAGAATATGAGAGTGTATTATGTATCATATGGCATAAAGACCGGTGTACAGCTCATGTCAGAAATCTGGTGAAGTTTAGCAAAGAGGTTTGCAGAGAGTAGTTGTATGGGCCATGTTCGTCAGCTTAACTCTGGGGACACTAAAGCACATGTACATGTAGCACATATATTGTCTCCTTACGCAAGTGACTTTGTTTGAAATATATGCCTATGTTCACCCAGCAGTAAAATGGGTACCTGTAGGTTGAGATGGTATTGTGACTGCAACTTATATACTCCCCAGGGAGATAAGAATGAAAATTATCCCTTTATTGTACTCTTTCCAGGTGGCCTCTCATAATTGACACCAGTGGCCAGGCTGCAATTTTCCTGCGTTACCGAGACACCAACTATGTGAATGCTCTCCGCCCTGCCGATGTGGAGCCTGACCGCCTCAGAATAGCGCTGCTTGGTGCTGTCAGGTCTGTTTGATCTCACCAGCTTTTGCTTTAACTTGTTTCAAACTTACAACTAGTAATCTGGTAACATCTCACTAACATCTGGTAAGTCAGCCTAAGGGCATTCTGGATTATCCAGTGTATTTTATCTTCATTCTATTTCGATAAATAACCTGGACCCATTACCTATCAAAGCTTTTATTCCAGAGTTTGTTTGTTTTGTTTGTTAGTTTGGTGTTTAAAGCCGCACTCAGCAATATTCCAGCTATATGACGGCGGTCTGTAAATATTTGAATCTGGACCAGACAATCTAGTGATTTAAACATCGATCTGCACAATTGGGATATAGTGACATGCATCAACCAAGTCAGCGAGCCTAGCCACCCGATCACATTAGTCACCTCTTTCGACAACCAAAGTTGTACAAAGTAAAGCAAGCATGGATTGCTGGAGACCTATTCTACCTCGGATCTTCACAGGTCCCGATTCGGAAGTGTCGTCTCTTTTATCACTTTTAAATATTCCTCATGAGAGTTATTGCATTGAATAGGTTTCAGAACAAAGAAACCATATTGGATTGATCCAGGGTATTGTCATAAGGGAATAGAGATATAAATCTGTAATAGGCGCTCCCTAAAGGCTGTAAAAGGCACCCAGTGACAGTAGAACTATAAAAATGGATGACAAAACGTCTGATGTTTTACTGCGGTGGTTTGCATTCCGTTCTCTTCTCCCTGTGCAGTATTCTTTTGTCTCTATGTTCTTGGAGGCTCCTGACCGAGTTCTAATTATAGATAAAGCACAAAGGGTGAAGTTTGATTTAAAGTTTATTTATAACAAAAATAAACAACAACAGGGGGCAAAACCTTCCTCCACTAAATTATAACCTGCATATTTTCCCCCCTTCCCTACCTACATAACACAATTCAACATTCTTCCTTAATCTTGCTCTTATAACCACCCTTCTAACGTAACTCCCAAAAGTAAACCGTCCCCAAACATATCTCCTAATCAAACATCCCATTTATCCAAACGAAAGCAGTATAAAAAATAATAAATGGTCCTGATTCAGGGCGCGTGAGTCGACTCTTCCTTACCAGATACTGGTGAGCAAAGAGTGACGGTTCCCTACCCAGCCAACACGCAGATCATGTGACCAGGAAAATGGACACAACCACTTGGCCCTCCCAATCATGACTTCCGCATAGCCGAGCATGCACGGAGTGTGACATTGTCACATCTTCCCATCCACTAAGCATGGGCATAAGCTACTACAACAAGGTCTACCAAGATAGGAATAAGGTCAGCCGTTCATATATCAATTTACCCACAATGCAATCATCCCCAGTTAACCATAATACATTTGATAATCAAGGATGGCTTCAGGGCTATGAGGGAGGATTACCTGCAGGTACAGAATGTGTAAAGAGGGTCCAAACTTCTTGCTGTTATCCATGTTGTTTTGTTTTGTCATGTTGAAATGATTGGTTCTACAGTGCTACTTGTGCACATTAACTCTTGGTATTTTTCAGGTTTGGGAAACCACTTGTACTGGACATGATGGAAATTGACATGTTTGAGACATTTTCTGACCGAATGGATATCATTCAGGAGGGACTTATGGCCTCTGTACTAGACAAAACAATACTACAGAATCACAGGTATTGACCAATTCATATGTAAAAGTATAGTTACCGTCACCACAGATGTGTGGATGTGAGTTAGTCACTATAGCTACCATCAGCATGGATGTGTGGATGTGAGGCAATCAGTATAGCTACCATCACCACAGATGTGTGGAAGTGAGTTAGTCACTATAGCTACCATCAGCATGGATGTGTGGATGTGAGGCAATCAGTATATCTACCTACATAATCCAGTCGGACAACATCTCAGTCACCTGGTACATCAAAATGCTGGGATCCACCAAGTCAATGTCGCTGTGAGTGGCAAACGTCTGAGGCTTGCATCACTTAGGGCTTTCCTCTCTCATTAAGCTGACATGCCATGATATAACTGGAATATTGTTCAAATCTGGGTTTAACTAAACTCACTCACTCACTCACTCACTCACTCACTCACTCACTCACTCACTCTGCATCTGCATCTGCATCTTCAATGGTGTTGGTAGTGTTGATATCGAATGTTTGCACTGTTTACACCTCTGGGCTAAGGAGTGCACTTCGAAGATCTACAGGTGGCAGAACGTCGTAATATGGAAGCAAGTCCATATCAACAACCTTGAATTTAAGTTGGTCATTCTGGAGGTGTCCAATTGGGCAGAGTTCCTCTGTGCGTCATGCCTCATGATCCAGTCAGACAACATCAGTTGTATGGTATATATATCATGGGCTCCACCAAGTCTATGTCAATGTAAATTTTGTCACTGTAGATTGATTTCTTCTGGCTGAACAACCCCTGGAACATTGAGGTTTGAACAATGCAGATTCTCGGGATAAAAAATGTCCAATCTGCCCATTCAGAACATGCCGTCCACTAACCACCAACGACTGCTTTTGATCGCACCCTATTGGTCAACTCGGGAGTTGGTTCACAACGCTGTTTCAACACGCACAAAGAAAGTTTCACCATCTTCTACTGCAGGACAATCTTCTCCTCCAGCCACACTCCCACCTGCTGAACCCCTCACCCCTCCATTTTTGCATCTGGCTCATCTCCTCGCTTTTTGCCAAAGGGTGTTTGAAGAGAGTAGCCAAGACCATCACTGAGGCTCACCGTCCCTCTACTAAGACCCTATACGACCACAAATGGAAAGTGTTCAAAGCCTACTGTCAAGCCCATGACCAAGCCAACTGCCACTTCTCCTCAACAGGTTGCCAAATATCTGCAACATTTGCAGCCTAAATGGTCTACTTTGAGTACCTATCTCGCGATGATCAACTCCAACATTGCCAGTAAAACATGACCACCTCCGTGGTCTAGTGGTAGAGTGTCCGCCAAGAGAGTAGAAGGTGAAGGGTTCGATCTCCCGCTGCATCATACCGAAAGATGGTAACCTGCCTTAAGCTCGACATTAGGGGCATGTCTGATTGGGGTATTCATGTTATAACTGTGGCATAATAACTCGGTGGGCATGCACTATAAAATTGGCATTAGTCCGGACTAGTTCACACACACACACACACACACACACACACACACATACACACACACACTGGGAAGGTCTTTCTGGGCCTTCGCAGGGGCGGTCAGGTAGCCTAGTGGTTAAGGCGTTCGCTCGTCACACCGTCGATTCCCAGTATGGGTACAATGTGTGAAGCCCATTTCTGGCGTCCCCCTCCATGATATTGCAGGAATATTGCTAAAAGTGGTATAAAACCATACTCACTCACTCACTCTGGGCCTTTGCTTTGATTTCATCGCGAAGAACCAGCTTCCGGGACAGCCAGACCTTTTGTTTAGAATCCCATCGCTGGCATTCATCTTAGGCCCAGATGACCATGAAGATATCTCTGTTAGAGCACTCTGTATCTTCCTCAAGGCTGCAAGACCACTTCAGCACATTAACAACTTCTTCGGCCGCTACAACGGAAGTCTTCCATACTAGTCTCAGTTCGGCTTTGCTCATCTTTTCTGTGAGCCTTCTCCTTTGCTGGATTGCTTCCTCTGGTGACATCCACTCCACTCTCTAAACGACTCTAGCCTTCGCCTCTATCATGGAGGGCTGCTTTTGGAAGTCGGATACTGTCTTCACTTTCCATTATCTACATGACATCTCTGTCAAAGACATTCAGGGCCTCCACCAGTTCGGTACCTTTGTCCTGGCGCAACAGGTGACGACTGCACACCAGCACAGAAAGACGATATGCATACCCGCTCCTGCTATTCAGTACTCCGTATCTTGTACATAAATAATAAATCTTGGAACTTTCACTCCTGTCTTTTTGTCTCTATTATATGGGTTCCCAGACTGAGTACCAATTGGAGGGTGAGACATCTAGTCTGTAGAGACCTGGGATTCAACATTGAACTCCCCGCAAGGAGTGGTGTCCTGAGCGGGTACCTGCTCACCTCTGCCTTCAGCATGTGAAATATCAGAATTGGTTCAAAAATCCTCTTATGGATAGTGTCGATCATTTCTCTTCACGACTTAGCTTGCTTCAGTTGCTCAGGCGTGATTGATGGCTTTTAAAAAGCGTTAAAAGAGATGCCGATCTGTCCTACCCTATTGTCCGTCGGAGATCTGATGTGGTCTGTCTCGAAGAATTGATTGACTGGAAACCCTTCGACATCATAGGCAGAATAGATTGATATTTACAGCTACACAGCTGTTCATGAAACGATGTCCTGCTTGAAAAAACTATATGATGTATCTTGTACTCGATTTCCTACTGTTTTGTCCCACTAACGTATAGGGATCATATTGCCCATTATGGTGTGTTTACCCTGTCGCGAGTTCTTTACGACGTTAGGCAGTTTTATGACTTTTTTTGTGTCACTGTTCAGCACCAGCTTCCTCGTGTGTCTCACAGTTGTAGTTTGAGATAGGCTAAGTTTACAAAATTGTAAACTTTACAAGTAAATTGTATATTTTATACTCATAAGTTATATCCCTTCCCGACCATCCCCACATCACAGCTACTCTTGCCTGTGAGCTCTAAGAGAATAATGGGACAGTGGCAGTCATGTGACCATTTTCGTGTTAGTCGCTATGCACAGTATCACAGTGCATGACACATTTTTTTTTTAGTTGTGATACTGGGATGTGTTCTGGGTAATTGCTTTTGGGACCTGGAAACTTTGTTCAAACACGTTTCCATAGAAGTATCCAAAGAAGAAGAAAGAAATGCTTAGCATGACACAGGATAAGTACATAAATATACAATTTAATTGTAAAATTTACAATATTTTTATTGCTGAAATATTTCAGTGTCCACAATCCCTCAAATGGTTTTGAATACTCTAATGGCAAAGACAAAAAACAAGAGTCACTGCTTCACTATGTCTATAACTTGACTTTCTGTTTGCAAGGTACTTGAGTCTGCTGAAGGACAGCGATGGAGAGGAATATAGCAAGACAAGATTTAATGATCTCCGCACACAGAACTTCCGCTTCTTTATTGTCACCAAGAATCCCTTCCCTCCTGAAGATCTGATGGAACTGACCTTTCCTATAAGGGTTTTTGTCCCCACATGATCCAGAATTAACATGGAACAACTAACAGATCTCTAAACAAGTTGTAATAAAGGCAGTATCTAAAAGGGACCAGTGTAGTAAGTTATTTATTATTCAATAAAACTTTGCACAATATCCCTACTTACTCAGCCCATTACACACACACTTCTCTCACAGATGTAACCCCTACATAAATCAATCAACATATCTTCTGTTGATCCTTTGATGGGGAGGAATGATCCGTTGATTTACTTTTTGGTCTGATCACTCCTCTTGCTGGCCTGTCAGGAGCATATGACACACATTTCACCTCACTTCAAACCTGGATTTAGATATAGTAGTGCTACCGCTAATTATACCTGTAATATATTCATTAACTGAGCTTGAGGTGAATGACGACACATACACTGGTGGAGGGTTATACCAGGAAACATGGATGACAACCAGGGAGTAGTGATCGTATTATCCACACAATCTGAAATCCGAAAATGCTTTCAGTGATATATGAACTGCTCCTCAATCCCCTCGAATCTTTTAAAATAACATGTTTCCTCGTTGTATCATATGCCTTTACTAGATCGAAAAAGATTGATACAGTTTGTTGTTTGTTGACAATGAAATTTTTTATGAATGGTTATAAACGCACCAAATGGTCAATGGTACACTGGATGTCACTGATTAGGTTATTGGTCTCCAAGTACCAGACTAATCGATTGTTGACTATGCGCCTGATGGTTTTACAAACACAGCCTGTTAATGATATTGAACGTTAATTGGATGGATCTGTATGGTCCCGTCCAGGCTTCGGAATAGGAATAATAATAACATTGAGCCAAAGGATAATTTCCGGTTGTCCATATTTTATCAAATATATTGAGCCAAGTTTCCAAACATGAATCAGGCAAGTGTTTCAGGAGCTGATAGTGGATGTTGTTGGCTCCTGCTGCAGTGTCATGAGCTTACCCTAGGGCAGTATATGATTCATGGAGCAAATGTTTTTAGTTGTACTTCATTATCAGAGTTAAAATTGACATTTTTTCTTTTCCTGCTTTGTAATTGAGGATTATAGTTTGCCGAAGTGTCACAAAGTTTGTTGGCAATTTCAGATTTGGTCATTAAAAGTGTATTACCATCTTTGAGATTGTGAACTCCAGATATGGATCCTTTGCCCTTAATCTTTTGAATCATGTTCCATACCTTGGACATGGATGTGTGGGAATTTATTTTTGATACACAGTTCCTCCAGGATTGACGTTTATTTTTGTTTAAAGGTTCGTCTCACATTGGGGCCCATGATTTTAAGGTCATTCAAGTTGTGGGGTGTAGGCGGAATATTTCTCAGCTTTTCTAGCTTGTTTACAATTATTATCAAACTATGGTTTATGTATATGAGCGTTTGCAGAGGACTTAGGAATGCATCCGTCTCCAATAGCATTTAATATATCTGAAAAAAAGTTGTATAGGATCAGGAACATTCATGAAACTGTGGGGTTTTAGTTTTTCGGAACAGAGTGTTTGGAATAAAGACCAATTGGCCTTTGTAAAGTTCAACCTTGGTAAAGGTGGTTCGTCAGATGGATTAATGGTTGTAAGTATTGTTGGAAAATGAAAGGTCAAGGGCAGAGTATGTGCCAGTGGCAGGATGAAGATAGGTATTAGAACCATCGTTTCGTTTGTTTGTTGTTTAATGCCGCACTCAACAATATTTCAGCTATATGGCGGCGGTCTGTAAATAATCGAGTCTGGACTAGACAATCCAATCCAGATTTGACATCATAAGCAAAAATCCACATAATTGGGATCGATGACATGCATCAACCATATCAGGGAACCTGACCATCCGATCCCGTTAGTCCCTCTAATGACAATCATAGCTGCCTGTTACGGCAAGTATGGGATGCTGAAGACCTTGACTACCCCGAATCTTCAAGGGTCTATTAGAACCATCATTGAAGATACATCAATCATTATTTGAGAAAAAAAGCTTCAAAGACTTTTCCCTTATTATTAGTATCAGTACTCCCCCATAGGGGATTATGATCGTTTAAATCGTCCACGATGATACAGGGCTTCGGGAACTGACCGTACAAAGTCTGAAGATCTGATTGACGGATAGTTGAGGAAGGTGAAAGATACAGTGAACAGTGTAAACACAATGTTCAAAGTAATGTCAATGCGCATGTTGACGGGGAATTAGCTCTTGGGGGAATAAAGGACAAGATCGACATCACTGTCCCGGAACACTTTATGCACAACATGTAAACAATAAACAACAATTGCACAATGAGCGGAATACCTGCTCTGACAACACAAACACAGCAATGAGCAGACCTTCCAGCTCAGGCAATACAAGAGGTAAGCGGAGCTCCAGCTCACCTCAGGACGTTTCCAACAAGCGGCACATCCTGCTCGAGGTCGTCCCTACACCAGCACTCGGAATATCTCCAAGCTTGACTAACACCGTAGTAACAGTGTAATGGTAGCACATATTTAGTAATGAACAACAATAGAAATACAATGACGTTGCTCTGGACATGGGACTTCTGGGGGTGACAACCGACACAACTCAGGGGATGAACAATTAAGGCAATAAATGTCATACTATAAATAACAGTAATAAATGGGAGCCCAGATTGGCTGTCAGTCAATATATAATGAAATGTTGGTGAGGATTAACAACGGGGATTAGCGCCTAAAACGTAATGACAATTAAGTTATGGAGACATGGCTACAGGGTAATTTGCCCTTGGAGTCAAATGTACTTCAGACAATGGTAGTCGTAAATCAGTCGCTATGACAACTTCCCTCCATTCCGTGAAGCTTGGACCCCTAGCTTAAACAAGTACAAATTGATATGTGTGAACTTTTTCACAGACGGAAACAACAGTGCAAAATGTGGACATAATAATCAGTTAGATGAGTTCAGGATATCGTTGAAATCCTTGTGCAACAAATATACCTATGCAATGACGGTATGAAAGTGATCATCTAGCCAGTTTGATTTAGTTCCAGTTTGAAACTAACCAAGTATTGAGCACACAACGATATAACAAATATAACATTTGTTACCATGGTTACATCAACCAAGTATTCTTTATAATGTGCAATTTCACTTCGAGGTAAATACAACTTTGCACAGATTCAATAAATATATCATTGAAGGTTCTTTGAATTCAGGAGTCTGGCTTGGCGGTGCGACTCAGTACCGGATAATGATAATGAGTAATGTCATAAAAAGTACGAATTAAACATCTCAGCAACTACTTCGCCTAAAGAAATTTGAAACCAGGAGTCTAACTTATCGCGCGACTCAAACGGTACTTGTGGGTACTATTGCCCTTTTAAGTACAATGGGTGCTCTTCCCGTGTCTTTGATGGAGCTTGCCCAGATATTGTGGGTGCGATGCCCAAGAAAAAAAATCCTTAATTCTGACATCAAAACTCTGAAATGCTGAATACCGCTGTGCTGTTAATTACTTAATACTGACATACAATAAACATATGTGTGGGGGTGGCTCATCCAAGAATATCCCTAATCTGAATTCAAAGTCCTAGACAATACATTCAATTTTGTACCAAACTGTGCACATTAATAACTTGTAACAAATGACAAAGTTTGTCGTTTAGATTTTTGAAATTACGAGTCAAGCTTTCAGGTGTGACTCGATAACCCTACAGGTTAGGTTTGTCTGGGCCCTAGCTGTATCTATATGTCTGGCGTGCCCTGGAGACATTTCAAAGATTCCCTACACAATAACTTCAAAGATCTAGCTTGACTAAAGATGTAATTTGGAGTATATTGCACATATATACGAAGATCGTTGGTGGATTATAAGTATATGATAGTATCTTCTACGTATGTATGTGTGTATGTGTTTGTATGTGTGTGTGTTGGTGTGTATATGTGTGTATGTGTGTGTGTGTGTATACTGATGAGGGCATAGTATCGGAGATAAATATAATTTGGTTTCTTAGTTAGTCACTATTCTTTTCATTGGTATGTTAAGAAAGTATGCTATAATTTCAAAATTAGTGATAACTTATGAAAAACGTAGTTATCTGTTTCGAAAATTATGTACCGCATTATACGTGAGGTACCACATTTGGTATCAAGGTTGATTGGCGCAATCCACCAACGATTGCCGAGTTTAATGATCTTAGAATACTCTTCGTATAAGGTCAAAAAGAATATTTACGTTAGTGACGAAACCCTTTTCATTATAGATTTTCCATCCTTTCAATTTTGATCAAAACAGATATATTTCAGCAAAAATTGATTGCAACAAGACATGCCCGAAGATACCGGATATTATTTGTGTATGCTTTGAATTATGATTTCGTGCCGTTATCATGATGGATTCTGTTTTTGTTGATGGGGCAAGGAGTTATTATCCCAGCAAAAGTTGTCAGTAAGTTGTTGTTCTTCATGACATATGAAAGGAATCCAGACAGTTACATTTATTCATTTATTTCATTAAATATACTTCTTCCTATAAAAGGAAATATTTTATGTTATATTAATGATCCATATGTTAATAATACATTGCTACAAATATTGCATAAGTTAACATGGTTTGCATTTATTTATTATTATTTCTTTATCTGTGAGAAGTTCACAGAGATCGAGAATACACAATATCTAATAGTATATGCAATGTAGGTAAAGAATATCCACGCCCCTCTTTTGAAATTAATAAAAACATTGTATATAATGTTATGTATTAAGTATTCTCCTTTCCCATGCATGGGAAATCTATGCTGCATTTGCTGACGGCTGGTTTTTTTCCTTTGACATTGCACAGGAGATCTGTCACTCATTTGTTGTATTTGAATTCTTCGTCAAAATATAATGTATAAATACGATTGAATTGTCTCGTTTGTTTCAAAGAAACGGTCATGTGCTCCTTATCAAATTAAGTAAACCTCCAATGCAAATCGACATAATTTCAGGGTCCGGTTGCACAGAGCTCTCTTGGGTAACTCGTAACTCAATGTTATTGCAATGGACTCCTAGCTAAGCTACTATTGGATGATAAATCAATTAACCTATTTGTCGAATAGACGTACCTAATGTAATCCATCATTTTAAACCCGAGGATGGATCTTTCAGTCATAAATTTCGATGTGTACAGTTGCTAGAG